ATGCCCCTCCCCCTCCCATGGGCCGCAGCGTGACATTCCACCCATTCCCAAGATCCCAACATGAAACACCCCTTACTCGAGCCTCGCATGCGGTGAGGTTCCCTATCCAAGACCTGGGTGGAACGTCGTTGCAGCTCAAAGGGGGCAGCCCCCGTGGTTGGGGGCGGCAACCAACCTACACGCACAAGGTCGCAGCGCGAATCGGGTCCTCCCACAGAAAAAGCCAAAACGCAGACTTCACTGCCGTGAGAGGATTCTGACCAGACGCAAACACCCCCCGCTCGCCGCGGCCTGCGCCTGAATTTTCGCCTGGTGTGGCGCAACCAATGACCTCGGCCAACAGACCACTGCAGAATCCTTGGGAGGGGAACATGATGTAACCTGCGAGGACCCAAAGGATGGAACTGAATATTTGATCTTTGATCTCCTACCCAAATACTTTTAGTATCCTTTGCATCTGCCGCCCTACTTTGAGATGTGGCCTTATCGAAGCCTCATCACCTTGCACAAAAACGCAGTCACCCGCTTTGTGTCTGCACCTTGGCGTCGTCGCGGTACGTTGCCGCTTACAGGGTTGCACAATCCAGCAGTGGTTGGTGTTTGACCGAACACCACGAATATCTGAGCACAGGTGGACGCATAATACGATGAAATAACAGGGGGTGGAATCTTCTGCGAGTGGTATCTCTCTGTAGCCCTTAACCTCCTCCTCTTCCCCAAAATTCGACCAGCTCGTTTCTAATAAAGAGAGCTGTGGTAATGAATGACAATTGATGAGCTAGGTAAGCCTCAACCGCCACAATCAGCTCGGCAGGGGCATGATAAAATGGCATCCCTGCCAACATGGCTCTCATCACGCTTCATCTTCTATACTTCTTACTCCTCCTCTCCGTTGGTGGCATTAAACCGTTGGCCGGCATCTCCTCTGTGTCAGGGTTGTTCAAAAGGTCTGCGACGGTTGGGTTGTCGTTGAAATGTGTTGGGAAGCCCCCACCCACAATATTCCTGACAGTATCAACCCGCGCCATGAGTGACCATGAGTCGATCAGTACGATCGACTCACCGACGCGAAGTTTCTCTCGATATCCAAATTCTTGTACGTCTCCGTCATGTTCGATCTTGGACCCTCCTGTATGCGGATTTGATGCCGGTCGGCCGGATGTTGAGTACCCAGGCCCTTTGCCGTGCTCCAGCGAAGTCACGATGCTGGCAAAGTTCTTGCGGAGATGTCTGCGATCTTTTCTCGACGTTCCTTTCGCGGCTGGTTTTGATGCCTCGGCCATGCGGCTGATGAGGCGTTTAGGGTCGTACTGCAGATTCATGACCTCGCCAGTCTCCTCTTCGTGATCGCGCGCTGCCTCAAAGATAAAGGCAATATTAAAGCCAGCGCTTGTCTGAACATCAACGTCTGTGCTGTCAAGCTGCTCGACAAAGGCGTCCATGGCCGCGGAGACGAGCTCGCTGATGTCGTCAATCTGGCTGGCGACAAAGGCCCAGGATTGCAGGGCGGCTACGACCACGTCACCGTTGTCTCCTGCGCCGACAGATTCTCCGTCTGATTCTACCACGCCGACGAGGAACTCCAAAAGTTCCTCTGCAGCTGTTTCTGAGCCTCCCCCATAGAGGGCTGTCACCGCCATGGCCTGAATAGCGGCAGCCTTGACTTCGGCACTCTCATCGTCTTCGCAGACTGTTTCGATCTGCTGGTAAACGTCGTCGTACAGGGAATCGGAGGGAGAGGTCAAAAGCGTAACCTGCAGGGCTTGTAGAGCCAGCGACTTTTCGAGGGTGCTGCCTCCAGAGCGGACGCTCCTCATGAGCGCAGTGACGATCTCGTGAGAGGAGCTCCCAACCTGCCGATCTGCGTAGTGTTGTTTGAGTAGGTGCAGATATGACACTAATGCGGTCTCCCGGCCCTTGACGCTACTGCGTTTGCGATCCCTGAAGCTCGACGATACGGTCTTGTAAAATCTGAGTCCATACCGGCGCCATGGCTCTCCGTCAAAGACGGCTTCCGAGCCGTTAGACAAGGTACTAGCGGTCATGGAGTCATCGTAATCCTCCTCGCTTTCTTCTTCCTCGGAGGCGTAGCGGCTGCCAGCGCGGGAGTGGGCTGGCGAGTTGTACTGCGAGTGACCCGGCGAGCCGCTTGGCGAGTTCATGGTGGAGCCACGCGTGGACTCGGGGCGGGAGCGCGACTTGCGGGAAACGGTCTTGCCGCTCTCTCGGAGGACCTTGAGGCGAAGATCGTGCATGATGTCGGTATGCGTGTTGTGTTTGAGAAGGGAAGGGAGGAGTGTTATCCGGGAGATAGACGCTCCTGCTGTTTAAGAGCTGTCGTGGCGCTGTGAAGCTGTTGCAGGGTCGGGTGGCGACTGTCAGAGCGCGCTGGACTTTGCACTGGGAAAGCAGTCGAGGATCCAGCGTTGAGCAGGTGTGGTGGTCAATGTCGCTTCGTACAGCGTGTAGTCCATGAGGGTGAGGGAGCTTCGCGGGGGATATGCATGCAGAGTTAATGAAGCAGACAAGAAACGGGAAAAGATGTTTCTGGGGAATCCGGTGGCAAATCCCGGGTGCGTGTGGTGTTGCGAGGATGGGTTTATGTTGGAAATAGGTCAGAAATTCGTGTGTCCGGATCTTAGGTCTGTAAAAGAATTGCGGGCGGGCTGGTTGGAGCAGCGAGGAGGTACTTGCAGCTGGGATGAATGGATATCTGAGCTAGCTGCACTCCGCTAAAGCGGCAAGCAGCCAGGCCGATCAAAGAAGGGCAGCACAGCAGAAGTGCTGCACTCAACTTGGGACACGACCCTCCTCGTCCACAAGCAGGTGGTTTGGCGGAAGGTACAGGCCACGGCACGGCGCTTTCCTTCCCAACTTAGGTACCTTACCTACGTCAGGTCAGAACGCAAGGTCGTGGGCCATCAATGATGCAACCACTTGACGGGCAGCGGGGACACCCTAGTCACATGAAGGGGCCCACAAAGCATCCCTGAGCTGTCTGTTCGGAGGTGGGCTGATCCCTGGCGCTCTTGGTCGCGGGTAGGTGGGGCATAGGGACGCCTTGGGCAGGATGCACTTTTCCCCGCCATGGACGCAAACTCGAGGAATGGAGGACTATCATGTAGCCTGGTATCGCAAAGAGGCGAGATACCCGCCACAGCGGAGGCACAGTATCTTGATCACTCTGGGCCGCGACACATTGATCAGTCGAGCTAGATGTGCTGCAAGGCACCCGGACATGCCAGTAACCCCGTAGGCTCGGCTTCGTGGCCCATGTGACGAGCCAGATGGTCGGGCTAGAGAGTTGGGTGTACCATATTGGGCATCCATCTGCCAGCCCGGGCGGACACCTTTGCCAGCACAGACAGAACATGGGAAAGTGTAGACAGCGCCGCTTTAGACGTAGCGTAGAGCATGGTCGAAGAACCACGTGCCTCCGGACGGTGGACAACTGGGTATTGGTGAGAAGATACAGGCGCTGGCTGCCTGGCATGCATTACCTAGAATGGTCACCTGTCTGCCTCTGCCGACTTTGACTGGGGGCTCTGCCCCGCTCTGCCTGTCCAGGTACATTAGCTTCATCCGCGATAAGATAAAGCACTCTAAAGCTCGAGACTTCGGTCAGGCATCGTGTGGCGAGGGATGCCGTGCCGTCGACAAACAGAAACGCAAAGCGACAGATGTTCAGCATATTTCATTAGATTTTTTTGGAATGATTTTGATCAGGAGAAAAAAGGCCAACTTCCTGCTCCCATTTGACGTGTAATCCCCAGCTGGTGGTCCAAGTCACTCGTCAGGCCCATAGGCAAGTTACCCCGCTTACCTCGATGGCTGCTGTTGGATACATTATGCAAAGGTGCTACACGTCCCGTCATTCGCGTGATCACCACAGTGCTAGCTGACATTTGGTCTTGACTGTTCATCGCCCTCCTTGGGTTGTTTCAGCCCTCCCATCCCACTCGTCGTTATCGGCTCGTTGCTCATCCCATCTGCGTTGCTGCCTACTTTAGCACTTTGCTTCTCTCCATTCGAGCGGGATTCCAAGAGGAGGTCCCAGTGGTCTGTGGCAGCGTATCTCAGCTCACCCAGCCATTCTTACCTGCAAAATCAAGGCTCCTCCCCCCTACCATCAACATTGTTCCCTCCAAGCCTTTGCGAGCTTTCCCGACCTACCTGTTACCCTGATACAGGCAGGTATCTTCCTGGAGTTCGCGGACACTTTTTGACCTGAACGAGGCAACTTCCTAGCTGCCCAGCGTTCCTATATCCTGGTGCTTGAACCACCCCCCAAGCCGACCTGTTACCCATACTCAACCACATACCCAGTTCTGCTTGGCGGAAGTAACAACCTCATCAAACGCGATCACCCCGAGATTGAATGTTACTCGTATAAGAGAGAGAGAGAGGAGAGAGAAAGAAAGCATCGTTCCATGCAGCTCTTGGGCGAACACCAACCCCTCAAGATAAGCAGCCGTTTCCTCGGAAGCTGTTTCCAACTCAGCACCATCTCTGAGAACTGGGATCCGACCAAGCCGTGGCTGCCTGTTATCGAACGCCTGAATCCCCAAGGTGCCCTGCCCCACCAACCTGTTGTACACAGTGCACCACCTCCAAGCCGCATCACACCTCGACCTCCCACTTACCTCCCCGTTCCCTTTTTCCTCTCAAGTTTGGCATCAGAAACTTAACTTTCTTCCCCTCCCAAACCTTGACCGTGACCTTGACGAGCTTGCCTGTCGAGCCTTTATACCCCAGCACCACTGCACTTTCCTCGCCTGATCTTAGCATCCAGGCCATTGGTTTGGGTGGCAGCCCATTGTTCGCCTTACAAGTGACTTGAGTGTAAGTTGGTTCGAGAGCTTGAGGCGAGACTTTTGGAAACAAGCAACAGCTGACCCTCTCGACCACAGCCTTCAATACCGAACTGCCTCGTCATTCTCCGTATCAAGCCCGGCTTCTTGACGTGGCCATTTGACTCACGATTGCCGACACCAGTCAACATGTCTGACGATCGCATGTCCTCGACTGACGATGGTATGTCCCTCTCTTACTCTTGCAGGTACAAGTCAAACTAACGACTACCCTCGCAGTCATCGTCAGCCTCAGTTTCCCGATCTCCGATAATGCTTACCCTGAGCGTCGCATTACACTCAATGCGGCCAGGCCTTCCATTCAAGTCGGCCGTACCAGCAAGAGAGTGGCCAACCTATCTGCTGCCCTTGACAATGCCTGGCTTGAAAACCCCGTGATAAGCCGCGAGCATGCCGAGATCTATCTCGGTCCAGACACAGAGAAAGTATGAAATTCAATACCGTCTACCTTGCGCTGGCAGGCGTCCTCGAGCTCTGGAACCATGTCCATGATATCAAATGCTGACCGTACCAGGCTGTCTACATCAAGGACCGTAACTCGAGACACGGTACTTTCGTCAACAAAGACCGCGTCTATCCCCATACCCCTGTCCAGCTTCACCAAGGTGATTTCGTCAGATTTGGTATCGATATACAACGTGACCAGGGTCTCTATCCCCCGCCCTCTGCTTCCATCGACATCCAGTTCATCAATGGAGCGGATCATAATACCACAGGCACTCAGACCCCTGTTGATCGCTCAGTCGGGTATCACGTTCCTGAGACTTCTGACGACAGTGATGGCTTTGACAGCGACGATTGTGACGATGAGGACTGCAACGCAGTACGCAGCGCTGTCGCAAACCTTCGAGCTGCCGGAGAGCAACGAGCACCGAAGCAGGATACTGCTGCAATCACTCCAACGACTCCTGCAGTGACGCCTGGCGCTGTGCCGTCCAAAATCAGTATCAGCGCCGAAATCATCGACCTTGACCATTACGAGCCTAAGGGTGAGACTGTCATCGATCTGACGGGAGCCTCCACTTCAGAGCAGTTGCCCACGCTATCTAAACCAGCTCCTTGCGTCACTGAAGTTCTTGATTTTGATTATGACGACGAAGGCAAAGAAAATGTGCACCTTTCTATGGAAACAGAGCCAACTCATTCGGTCGACCACTCCCACCAACCTATCCATTTTGACACGAGCGAGTCTGAACGTGAGTCTTCAGATGATGATACTCAACTCGATGGTGCTCCATTGGGGTTGTGGAGCAGCTCAGTAATTGCCGGCACTGAGCACACTGGAGACGATGACGAGGACGACTTCGAGGTTGAGTCGAGTGATTCGATCAGCAGCGAGGATGAATCCATCTCAGACATCGATGAGTATGAAGACAACTACGAAGAAGCATCCATTGTCATGGAAGATGCCGCCAAAACGCAGAACCCATTATCGTCAGGCTGGGAGGGCTACCCGGAACTGTCACAATCAGTTAAGGAACACAATGAACTTGGATTCCTTCCTGCAATCGAGTCCGAGAAACCGCAAGGAATGACCTCCCCCTCTTGTGTTTCAGCAGCTAGAAAGCCTCTGACATGCTCCTCATCAGTTCCTACATCGCCGCCAGAACAGCAGTGGATGCTTCCACCCTTGCAACAGGTCCTGGGCTCCAACGGGATGACCATATCCACCCTGCCAACCATGATTCCTGCGGCCCCCCAATGTACAATTTTTGTTTCGGCTTCTGCCACGAATTCTCCAAGCATCCAAAAGTCACGGAAACTCCCGCCCTGGCGAGAGGCAGCCGCCAACCTACAGCCGGACCGCCCGGGCCAGTCATTCAACACTTGGCGGTCCGAGAACGAAGATTTCCTTCAGGCGCGAGAGTCAAACAAGCAAGAGCTTTGTCGACGCCTATCGGTCTCCAAGACAGAGCTGCCCAAATCGAGTGTGACTCTTCTGTCGACGCCAACAACAGAACCTGCTTTGTCGGGTAAACCCAAGTCTGAGAACGAATCGACGGCTGCATGCGAGCCTGTAATACCAACAGATGACACCGAGGACTCTCTCGATCTTGCACCGTGTTCTAAAAATCAGTTGGTGCAGTCGTTTTCACCCGCTGAAGCCATGTGGATTGATTCCGGCGACAGGTTCCTCACTGGCCCCGTGAACGACCCCGTCATCGCCGACGCTCGCATTAGCCCTGAGCTGGATATGACTAGCGCTTGGTCTTTCAACCAAAGCAAAGTGGCTGCAGCTACGGTGGAGCCCGACAGTAACATCCAAGCTAGTATGGTTGAGTTGCAACTCCTTGGTGCACCTGTCAAAATTTGCGAACAGTTGCGATCTCGGACCTCTGCGAAGCGCAAGGCTTCTGACATTTCGGATGCTGTGCTCGGAGAGGAGGCAGTGGAGGCGGCTCTCAACGATACCACCAACGGTGATGATCTAGCAGCCAGAGCGCCTTCTGCGTATATGGGCAGTGGCGACCCAGCAGTCTCAGCTTCCTCAGAGACATCAAAGTCCAAGCAGAGGTGCAGCTTTGGTGTACACGAGCATGGCTGTGACCGCCCGTCAAAGCGATTTAGACGCATGGCTGAGGCAGTAAGTCTTGTCGCCCTTGGCGGCGCAGCTGCAGGCGTGGCATTTATCACCACACTCATCGCAACGGCTCCTGCCCTTTGAAGGGCGTCAAGGCTTTCGGAGCTATGCATGCTTCTCGTTTTCGCTGTTGATCAGGAACTTATCCAACATCCAGGATGGTTCCATGTTCAACGAGTGGGGTCTCGTTTGATATGTGGCAGGCGTCTGGAGGAAATGGTGCGTTTGGTTTTCCGTCTTGGCCTTTCCAGTAAGGCCGGCTTTTGAGACGTAGTAATCGCTTGGTGGGTCAGACGTCTTTTATTCCTTTTAGCTCTACTATAGGGAAGGTAGTCGACAGCGAATCAAGATTTCTCCACGCGTAGGGAACATGCGACTCAAGACCGGGATACAAAGTCGACCTTGGCACTGTTTTTGGGGATGACACCAGTCCAATAGGTTCTGAATGCGTTCCGATTATGCCAGAGTTTTGCAGTCATGTTGCTCTCACGGGCTTTGACAAGGCGAAGAAAATATTCGGCGCAGCCCGGGTTGCGGGACGCAACAGCTTTGCCGGCTGGACAGTCGTCTGATGGCCACGTCGCCAACTGAGACTGGTGAGATGATGGAGGATCGACCGACACGTGGAGACCTTTTCCTTCTCCTGGACCTCATGGATAAGGCCGACAGATTTCTTCGTGGTGGGACTCGACTGTGCTGATCGCAAAATGCTACTGACATCGTCGGGCGACGAAGAGCCGAGGTGTGGTAACACCAGGAGAAGAACTGCGGTATCTCTCAAATATGGTCTGGGAAAGACAGAACTTGGGGGGTGGAGGGGGGGAACGATGGTGCCTTTGCCGTTACTGCATACCTGGCCGCGCGCAGCCAGCGTGCCACAGCCGGCGGTGGCGCGGCAAAGGCGCCTAGCGTCCCAAGTACATCTAAATCAAAAAGTCACTGAGACCTCCCGTTTGCCTGCAAATCGTCTGCAGAAAGGTGAGGTGGATGGCAGCACAAAGAGAAGCGGTCTTTTGGTGCTTGCCAACAAGAACGAATGCGAGTGAACATGCCTTGAGGTAGTTGCCCAATAGCAACTATACCAACGACAGTGCTACCAGCACCGAAAAGGATGGATATCCAGGCCTTCACTCACACGACATCGCCCATCCTGCCTAATTGAAGTTTGTCTCCTGTTCAGGAGTGGTATTCTAACCCTTTCGAACACCCAAAGACAAGGCTTGTACCCTCAATGTGAGCAAGCTTGTGCACGGAGGGCCCTCGGGAGACCCCGTCGTTCAGGGGTGGCCCCGAGGTCCTTGCTTTGGAGTCACATGGCCTTGCACACAAGCGACAACAAGTGATGATGAGCGGGTAGCGACAGAAAGAGGTGCAGCCCTCCGGGTCGTGACAGAGCCACTCCCTTCCCACGATGACAGATGCCGCACGGTCGATCTGGACATAGCGAACAAGAGGCATCTACGGTGAGCCTATGACCCGGCGGAAAGGCGGTCGCCTGACTACGGGTCACCAATGTGTTGAGCACACCCTCAAGGGGGCGCTACCCGACGGTTTGGTTCAGACAAATGATATATCCTGACCTAGACGTCAGTGCTGCCGACGCACTGTCGTTGATCCAACTGTCCGCCTGTCAAGTTGCATCTCGGCTGATCTCGATTCTCCAGATGCATGCAGAATATTTCAGACGAGGCTAAGGCGGCCAACGAGACAGCTGATCTCTGCAAAGAAGAAAGCTTCGAGGACGAATGACAGCTTGTTGCAGACGCTAGTGAAGATTCGGACATCGCTCTTCAGAGAAGGCACTCGAATAGGATGATATCATCTCGGCGGTGGCTGCCATCCGATAGATATGAGATGTTAAGGCAAGACTTCGCAAGAAGCTGTCATCATTCTTCAGCAGTCAGTGTTATCCAGGACCAATCGCCGCCGCAGCAATACTTCCACCGTACGCAGCGTACCTGTCTCGTCAAGCACACTCTGAGGTGTACCCCTCGACCGTATAGACTAAGCACTTGGTTACGGTGGCATGCGCCATTATGTTCAGTGCTCCCAAGCCTCGAGACTTGAGACGAGGCAAACGTCAGACTCGGTGTCTTGTCGTGGTCACAAGACCCGCCCTCGAAGCACCTCCCTCTGCTGTGCTGGCTCCGCTTGGCAAGGCTCTCCTGAATTGGGCTGCCACGAATCCAAAGAACTGCTGATTGCAGGTCCCGGCACGAGAGCACGGAAGAGCGATGGCTGCTCTGGCATAGGGCTATATAATGTCTGCAATCCTCTGCCCCTTTTGATATGGTCTTCGTATGCAAATATTGACTTACGGAATACTGTGACTGCGCTACCGTGAGCAATCACTGATTGAAATCGAAACCAAGACTCTCAAATTGCGGTCATCGGTACCCCATTACGTCACTATGAGTGCCAACTCTGTCTTTGTCTGCGGCTGTGTCCGTGGGCTGGGAATCTGCGTCAGTTGTCCTATCTGCGCCGGGTCGCCGAGACTGTATGTGCATCCGCTTTGACCTTTCCAGACGGCACACTGATCTCAGTAGAGTTGCCGACTGCGATCCCTGCATGAGGAGTGGCGTTGTCTGGCATAACCCGCATTGTCACGCACCAGCAGCTTACACTCGCACCCCGCCGCCAGCGCCTCCTCAACCAGGGGGTCGAGGACCCCGCGACGGCCATGGATCGTCCTACCAGAGCGTCCCAGCCAGACGCAATTGAAGGCCTCACAAGACACCGAGTTCCTGGTGACTCGAGATTATGCCTTTGATGCTGTACATGTCATCTCCAGAAAGTATCATGAATAGCCAAGAGCGCTGGGGGGTCCCTGGGGGATCCGTGGGGGTTCAAGAATAGTCTGTCGTTGCGCAAGCTCTGAATGAATGGCAATCTGTGAGGTGAGCCGCTGAGACCAGGTATCACGTGCTTGCTCATGTGTTTCTACTCTGAGTCCCAGTGTGAATATTGTTGAGGATTGACGTTGGGCGGGGTGCGCTACCTAAAGCTCGGTTGACTGTTCCTTAGCAATCGATGAGTGAAATCGATCACCTGTACCGCCGCTTGGAGTTGACGCTTCAGACTGGGCTTCATGATGAATTCTGACAGATAGCTCAGTGGTTAGTCACCGGACATCAGATGAACGAGCGGCGACCAGAGAGCTAAGGCAGCAAACACGTGCTGACAGAAAAGTACCAGCGAGCAGTATCTTTCACATGACCCGATAGGTCCCAGAATCAAGGCGTTCGATGTTTGTAGCACCGCTTCCGGGGTCACGAAGCACGTGGACTTGGGGCCTTTGGGGTCCGAGGCTTGGGCAGCAGACGATAGCTTCAGAGGGAGGGTGCGAGAACTTTGGGCAGTAATTTGAATGGACCAGGACCGAAGTGTGACAAGGGACTTGCAACTTTGCGTGCCACGGCAGAAGCTCCGAGATGCGTCCGTCGAGGTGAGCGTCCCTGAGTGCGGTGAATCGTCTCATCCGCCTGCGTATTTTAGGTTGATCCATGCGATGCGGTGTTGGCTAGACTGTGACTCCACCACACAATCATCTAGGGATGAGACGATCTGCTGTATCTGATCCAGGAATTCTGGTAAGGGACACATGTACCCAAGCAGATGTCTTCTTTGCACAGGGGCAGGCCGTTTCGGGATGCCCATCGAGGACTACTGCTGTTTCGCTGAGGTGGCAAACTAGTTGTTTGAAGAAGCGACATGCTCAAAACGCAGCCGATAACATGTGTCGGAATGGAATTGGTCCATGGCCTCGAGATGTGTATGACACCTTTGGCCCAAGCCTGTACGTACGTTTTGCGTGAGCGATCACCGGCACGTGTACTTGCATGTTCCGATACAGTCTTGGATGAAGCGACATGCCGTCGCCCCGGGGGCCGGTGATAAGGCAGGTCAAAAGCTTGTGGCCCGTCATGGGGCGGGGATTTTGTTACTGAAGGGTGAATTGATGCAACATTTATGCCAGGGCATGACGCTCAAGATCAGCCAGGTTAGTCGAGTATCTCTGATGTACGGTAATTCGGTCAAGACGAGTCTCGCTAAATCGGCTCATTCTTCTGAAATACGATAACGATGCATGCTGAAAATACCAGTGAGAGATCGTGCGTTTGGGAACATGTTTCGTGGGGAGGTAGCCAACAGGTGATGCCTCAGCGTGAACATAGAGCTGGCCTGTCGCACGTGATGATTGATGGTGAATGTCTCCCGCAACGTTCCTTCCTAAGTAAGGTAGGCAGGTAGGTAGGTAGAGGGGTCGGAGAATCTGACTAAGGCAGTGAGCGGCCGGTACCTGGCAGGACTGGTGGGACTGTGTGACCCTGGCAGCACCAGAGCTTCAAAGACTCCACCTCGGTGTCGGCCTGCTGGGTGTTTGGGTGGGGCTGGGCTAGTACTCTGCTCGATCAGGTCCTTGCGAGCATGAGGGGACTCGACATTGACAGCCTTGGACCATAGCGACGCCGCTTTGGATGCGATTCTGCGTTCTTTCCCTGCGCCTTGCTGCAGTTTCCGCTACGAAACTCCCTGTCGTATAACATGCGAACGCCAGAGCAGCTACCTCAGTAAACATGTCTGTGATTCTTTGCACAGGTAAGCAAACAGTGCTGTTGCGCTCACCACGAACCTTATCGATATCTGCCCTTCGACCGCCGCCTGTCGCAAATCACCAAGCTGTTCTTGGACCGTCCTCTGATCTGCGTCCCTTGCTAATTTGTGGCATGACCTAGCTGGCTACGACCACACCATTAGGTATGAGACTCCTCCCATCTGTCCTTGACGCACCTGCTGCGCTTGAACTTGGCACCGCCTCGGACCCCGGTAGCAGTCACGATCTTCGGCTGACAGACATCGCAGGTTCTGGGAAGCACTCTCCGGCATTTGCTCTCGTACGATCCAGCACCCCGACTCGCAGGTCAACCGTCTCTGCATATCTCCCGACAAGCGTTTTCTCGCTGCTGCCGGCCACCACACGGTCAAGCTCTTCGACATCAAGTCGACCAACCCGAACCCCCTCCTGACCTTTGAGGGCCACACCGGGAACATCACAGGCGTCGCCTTTCACTGCGAAGGAAAATGGATGGTCACAAGCTCTGAGGACGGCACCGTCAAGATCTGGGAGACACGGTCAGGCCAGGTCCAGCGTAGCTACAGCCACGGCTGCCCCGCCAACGACGTCGTCATTCACCCGAACCAGGGTGAAATCATCAGCTGCGACCGCAACGGCAGCGTTCGCGTGTGGGACCTGGCCGAAAATAACTGCTCTCACCAGCTGATCCCCGAAGAGGACGTGTCCGTGTCGAGCGTCACCGTCGCTAGCGACGGCTCCCTCCTGTGCGCGGCCAACAATGCAGTACGTTCTCCCGACGGCACCCACCTGCCGCCGCTGCAACACGTTACTGACCCCGCCTAGGGCAACGTCTTTGTCTGGCAGCTCCTCCAGGCCTACGACCGCACCCAGCTCGTTCCCGTAACCCACTTCAGCGCCCACAAGGAGTACATCACCCGCATCCTCCTCTCGCCGGACGTCAAGAAGCTCGCCACGTGCAGCGCCGACCACACGGCCAAGATTTGGGAGGTCAAGGACATCGAGCCCGTTCCCGACGAGGAGGGCCCCAAGCCCTACCCTCTCGAGGCCACTCTCAACGGCCACCAGCGATGGGTCTGGGACTGCGCCTTCAGCGCCGACTCAGCGTACCTAGTCACGTCGTGCTCAGACCACTACGCGCGACTGTGGGAGCTGCATAGCCAACAGATCATCAGGCAGTATAACGGACATCATAGAGGATCTGTTTGTGTAGCGCTTAACGATTACTCCGAGGCAAGATGAGCCGTCATTTTTGCTAAGGGTTGCCAGAGGTCGGGGGGGTCAAGGTAGCAGGCCCCTCCCCCTTTCCCATGCTGTTTTTAGTTCATGAGTTGTATGATCCAGGTTCAGGGTCGGGTCGGCGAGGCGTCTGGAAATTTTTGCTGCCCAGTTGGGTCAATTTGAAAACGTGTTGATCAATTGACTGATTAAATTCATACCATGATCCTTTTCAAGCAACCGATGTCGTGCTCTAGCCCTCGTCTATCGTGTTTTCTTTCACGTGATGGTATCCAAAGTAGAGCTATGGTCTCCGGCGACCCGACAACGCCAGCAATGTGATGAGATGGAAGCCAAGAAATGGAACGTCCGTCTGTCATGAGATAGGCCGTTTGTGAAATCATTACGTCCTTTACCATCCGTCGCCCCAACCGTCATCATCACCCGTTTCCTTAGGCTTCATGTCAATCTTCTTGGCAACTACCGGCTTCGCTGCTGGCTTCGCAATTGCCTTGGTGGCAGCAGGCTTCTTCGCCACAGCTGATGTCGACTTGTTGAGTCCTTTCGGCAACGGCTTCGAGGGCCCACTCTTCTTCTGATTTTGAGCAGCCAGCCAGCCAGCGAAATCAGGCTCTGATCCGTCGTCAAATGGCGTCGAGCTGGCTGTCGTGGGCTTGGACGCTGCGGATTTGGCGCTGGGTGCGTCGAAATACGTGTCATCGTCATGCATTTCTCCCCATGCATCGTCTTCACCAGCACCATCAATATCTTGGAAAAAGGAGTCTGCAGCCGGCTGAGGTGTTGCCCGGGATGATGTGGGTGGCGGAGAAGTAACGGCCTGTCTGTGAAGTGTGGACGCGGTAGATCCAATCTTTTTGGTTTCCAGGCCAGGAGACGAGGTCACTCGTGGTGTCGTCGTTCCAGACGTCGTGCCGTGATCGTTCGTCTGCATCTCACCTGCAGCCGCAGACATTTTGTTGGTGAATGAGGAAATAGCCCACCCAGTCCATGAGGAGCCCTCGCTGGGCTGAGGGGTGCTCATTCTTGGGCCTGCTGCAGCCTCAGCAGCCGCCGGAGGGGGCAGCACAGACTCGGGCATGGCCGCGGCTGCCTTGCGAATCTTCTGCAAGTAGACGTCTATGCTCTTGTTCGCCTGATCACGCACCAGCTTTTCCTTGTCCATCAGCAGCGGGCAGATGGCAGGCAAGATTCGCGTCGCGCAGTCTTCGTCGGAAAAGTGCTCGCTTGTTGCGCCCAGTGCCATGAGAGCGGCATTTCGGCCGTGTACAAAGGGATCGCGAAGAGAACGAGTAAAGGCTGCAATCAGCACCTTTGCTCTTGACGAAACACCCAGGTTCTTCGCGATCTTGCCGAGACAGATGGTCGTGTTGGTTCGAATGCCCGGTTGTTCGTCATTCGCCGTCTTGGCTAGGTACCGTAGCAGCTCGCCATTGATGGTTCGATCCGACAATTTCGAAATGATGACAAGCACAGACTTGAGAGTCTGTTCCCTGACTATAGGCGCTGCATCTGCAAAGCCTGTCACCAGTTGCGGGAAGATCTTGTCGTTGACGATTCTTTGTGACAGACGGTCGATCATCAAGGGCAGACTGTCGAGGAGGCACACCCGAATTGCTCGGTCCGGGTTTCCAAATAAGCGGATGACAACCGGAGTGATCCTGGAGTCGAAGTCTTCTCCGGACAGTTTCCCCGTGATTTTCATAACCACACCGAGGGCCTTGGGTCCACCGCCGCCAAACTCAACGGATTTGAGCATCTCAGGCAACGCCTTCATTTTGATGAAGTCCTCCGGGAGATCGTCGGTGATTTGTTCGAAGCCACTATGTTGAGTCAGTATCTTGCAAGCGATCGGGATGTATGAACTAGGCTACTGACTCGATGAAAGATTCTCGTTCAGGCTCGGACATGACTCCCATGTTGTCGATACCCTCCGTCAACTTGATGAGGGGACTGTCAAAGAATGAGCCCGTACGAGACCCTTGGTCTAAGAAAGTGCGCAGCACTCAGGCGTGCCTTGGGGTTTGGATTCACAAGTCGCTTGTAGCTTGCGTGCATCGTGGGCGGGATGTTCTTCGTCTGGCCCGCCTGATCGGAGCCTTGAAAGTCGCCATTGAAAGCCTCGAAGACGAGGCAGCCAAGGCCATACGAGTCAACTGCCGCGTGAGGACTCTTCTTTATAGCGTCCCATCCACTACGGGCCAGTTCAGGAGGCGTGTACCGTCCTGAGTCCGGGACGAGGCTTCCGTATGTCTGCCGTCCCCAGGTCAGTCGTGTACGGAATACATGATCGAGCGCGACTTACATAGATAACTGCTTCGTCATCTTTCACGCTGCTCAAGACTTCGAAGCCGCCCAGCTTCCATTCTCCACTCTCGGATGTATACACAGAGCCAGCCTTGATGTTGCCGTGAATCGAGGTTGCCTCGTCGTTTATGAACTTGACCGTCCGCTGCTGCAGTGTCAGGCTTTTATCACGAACAGGTAAAGCAGGTGCGCCTCCAATAACGTACGGCAACACTGTGCAGACCCCATTTGATAGCTTCGGGACTCAGGCTTTTTCTCCTGATATGCCACCTCAGGGGCACGACTCTCTCGGTCGCAATGTAGATATGGGTCTCGGTCTGGGAATCATGGTAAGAAGGAGGTCGTTGCATAAAGCAGGCGAGCAGCGTACTTCGACAGTGTCTAGAACTTTAATCACTCCAGGATGTCGGAGCGTCCGCAGCTTGCGCAGGGCGTTCTTCGCGAGGGGTAGTCGAGACTTGTTGGCGGCGATGTCGAAGGAGAAAACACTGCAGCTGGATCCGTCTTCCTGGATGGTATGTCAGGTTTTGCTTTCACAACAGAGGCCGAACCGGAAGCATCCATTGTACCTACCCTCTTTGTGCCATTGTTCAGGGTCCAGATGGACTGGTCAACATCGACCTTGTCGCCAATGTTGTAGGGTAAGGGGGACCCTTGGGATATGGCCGAGGCCACGGCGGAGAAGAAATTCATGGTCGCACAGCAACCTGGAAGTGCCCGCGACACGTAACGAGGAGAATGAAGTGGTGTTGGCGGATAGCGATCGCGTCGTGAGGACTAAAGAAAGAATGTGTCCCCCTTGAAGTGTCACGTCCTGAAGACAGCTTACTACGATAACTACACTCAGCACTCAGTAGGCACAGACAGGCGTAGTCGAACCCAAAGGTCAACCTGTCAGGACAGGGACAGAGCGTCTGAGCAGAACCCCGCGCTAAGCCTGTTCGGGCAGATGGAGGGGCTGTCGGGCAGGCGAACGGGGCGTAGACAGCGCTGACGGGAGCTAGGCGATCATGCTTTTTGGCGTGTCGTGTCCGCTGGAGAACGGGAGCTTGGGCCAAACCGCGAGCAGACCGACACGGCCGCTGTGGCCCTGGTCCTGACTCGCCGTCAAACCAGCTGAAGGTTGTAATTCGAAACGGTAAATGAAGAGGTGGCTCTCTTCAAGCGAAACAGGAGAAGAGAAGGAAAAAAAACGGGGCATTCGTCACTACTGTCCTGTGTGAGGCATCGCAGAGAGATGGAAGGAAGGAGCGGCGTTGTATCTCAGTCTTTGCTTATTATTTTTGGGTGACTGTGGAAGATATCTGGAATAATGACGGAGCTGGGACACTCTGGACAATCCACAGGATTGCTGTGCTCTGGGGGCAACGACTACAACCGTGCAACGACAAACCAAACAGCTACTGTGTCTTTCTTCATTGGAAAGCGAAACCGAAATCACTTTTGGAGTTGATCTCGATGAACGATGCGAAAACACGCAACAGCCCGCGGGCTAACACGCTAGACTTTCCACAGTACGGATGGCTGCAGCCTACAGCAAGGTCATTTCTCCAGAGGAACCATCGTCCATGAAAATCTCACGACAGACTTGTCATAAGTCGATGCCAGGATCCCGTACTTTCATCCCGGTGTGAGGGTTCAAGCACGCTCAGAAGACGCGAGCAGCCTGACTGCCACCCTGAAGGTTCAGCTAGGCCGAAGTGGTAGGGTTTTGCAGGCAGCTAACCAGGCACAACTAACAACAGTAATGTCTTCTCAGGGACTGACCTCTGTTCTGAGGATCTGGCACCATGCCCCTCTGACTGAGCATGAGCCTCAGGCTGTGGTTGAGTTGTTATGTCAAAGGCTCCTAAGCCAGGAGTCTGCCGTGCCGAAGCATGGCCGTTGTTGGTTCTTGGCCGCGCCAGTGGACAGCCAGCGCCACAAGATGAGTATGTCTCCATGCGGAAGTGGCTTTGACGTTTCAATACGAACGTGTCAATTAATTGCAACATGGATAGCATATATAGGGCAATTCGCGAAGGGTGGCTTAGCATGTACAAGGGCAACAGACGAATCTGAGCAAAAGCGGCATCTGGGGCTAACCCGATTCGTCCAACGCCAAGGGTGGTGAAGCCAAGAGCAACTCCAGTCAGCACACCTCTGGCGCTCGCTGTGCCAATCCCACCCACCTATCTTGCCCACCTAATGTACCGGCTGCTGAGGTACCGTCCTATATCCATACCCTGTTTGTTGTGAGCTTCATTCATCCACCACAGCCTCGCTCGAGGCTCTGTCTTTGCATCTGCCCTGACCTGGCAAGGCTGGGTGACAGCCGAAGAGACACCTCATCCTACCACTTTTCTTCTAGGCCCGATGCGTTCGCCAATCAAGGTTTACTCGTGCAATCACCTACCAGCCATGCGTCAGCTGCAGTCATCGAAGCAACCTCTCCTCACACACGAGCCGACTTCTTTTTGTCTTCGCGGACGACTCACTTCGATCAGAGGGATCACGCCTGTTTTTACAGCCTGAGAACGCTAAAATTGTCATCATCTCCCCCCGCCTCACTTGTGCGCATTACAGTCAACCACTAAGTGATACCTGTCCAATCTCCGCGGTATGTACCCTCTCTTCTCAGTTACCGGCGCCTCTGTCTTTCCGCTTTCCCTCCCCCCAACGCAGACTGTGTCTCGTTCATGATGAACTTCTGGTAAAAGGTCCGATGGAAGGGAGCCCTTCTGGGGTTGGAGTCTGCCTGATGCGTGTATTTGGTTTGGAAGGGGACCGAAGAACCACCCCGACCTCGAACTCGTACTCGAGAGTTGAACTCTCTCGTGGTCCTACCAGTCTGTCGACAGCTTCACGTTGTCTTGCCCTGGTGCCGGTGCAGACCAAGTACTCTCGGCTACACACCTGGTTTTCATGGAGAACATATTGATGCGCTGCTTCGACTTTGCATTGCCACTTTATGGAGTTCGGCTCTTCGCTGCCCCAACCGCGTCGGACCAAAGGCTGCGGCAAACAAAATCTCGTCGCCTCTCCCGCCAAACGCGTATCATGGACTTCCAAACCGCTGCTGGCGCCCCTCGATGAAGACACATTTTAGAGAAAGAACTGAATTCGAAACACAATTTAAGCTCCTCTTCGCTGGCGACGCGTTTGATGCAAGACAAGATCATGCATATATCTCATGGCTAATTTGCATCGCAGAAATCCACCCACCCAACTGGGGCGGCCAACGTCTGCTGGGGCCTGCCGATATTGCGGGAAAGGCGAGCAATTTGATCAAGCACTTTACGCGTGTGGTAACCGATGTGGTTCGTACTTTCACGTCGCTTGCCATCGCCATATACCAGCCAATAGGTACGTGGCCACGTTGTTCGTCCGGGATCCTCATCTCTCGAACGGTCTGGAACCTCCATCGCGTCATAACAAGCAACACTGGCTGACTGGTCTTTCAGACGCTGGTTATGCCGTCGTTGTTTTCGACAGGGGAAGATCAAAAGCCGACATGACCAAGAACCATCTGCCAACTCTCACTTGAGCAGACCCAGCGTTTACTCCAGCCATCAGTCCGGCAGATCAGCCTCTACCGGAGCATCCTCGGTGACCCCCGGCCGAAAGATGGACCACGAAGAGCCACCATTACAGCCCCAGCCTCATTTCGGAATGCAATGCCGTTATCCTGGCTGCTCGGTCACGGTCCTGTTCATGGATCGGTATTGTGCGCATCATGCCGCACCAGACCCCCCACAACAAGCAGGCGGATATTGGCGCCAATCCACCATGGATGACCGACCTAGAGCGAGTCCCAGCCGTGGGTCTGATAGTACTATGCCTGGCTTGCCCTCGAACTCTCGACTCGGAGAGGAATTCTTCCACCGGGCCCAACGGACAGCCAAGAAGGTTGCCCAAAGTCCCGGGATTCAAAACATGCCACGAGGACTCACCCCATTCTCGAGGTCAGGCACACCACAGATCCCCAGTAGCCATCTATTACATCCCAAAGCAGACGCATACAGCCCAGTATCATTGCCCAACCACCATGGAGCTCAGTGGCCCCCGTCAGGAGGCCTTCCGCGTAAACGGCCAGTGGCAGGGCAAGACAACCCTCCACCCAGGCCACCGATCTTCAGACCCTATCTACCCCCTATCCTAAGTGTTGCACCGAAGCCCCTATCTCCCGACCGCGATCACAAGCCTCGAGTCGAGGCTTCGAGATTAGAGTCGACGATATCACTTCCGCCGTTGCGAGATCATTCAGCATTACCACACGAGAGCCACACATCCTCCCTGCCACATCTGAATTCGTGGATTATAGAAGATCCGCGGACCGGAGGCTTTCCTCGACACAATGCTTTCAAACCACCACCTCCAAAGCAAAATTCCCTGCAGACATTCCGGACAGATTTAGAAAGCAAGGCGGAAAGCTGGTACGCGCGACAGGAAATCGAAAAGCAGCAACGGCTTAGGCAGCCATCAGAGTCGAGTGAGTCTCAGCCCAGCACACGGCCTCAACAGACACCGCACAGGCAAGTCTCGGTGAAGAGGGTGCCAGACGGACTGCCTGTTCATGTCCGAGACGCATTAGAAGGGCAGTTTGTCTCGTCTATGGCAGCGCCGCCACCTCGACATGCAGCCGCGCAGCACCTTGCTAACGGCCACACCACAACGGCTCACGCCCCCTTTGCCCACACGGCGTCTTCGAGAGCACATAGGGAGAAGGAACGAATCAGACAAGTCACAGAAGCCGCTGTCCGTCGCGAGAGATTGGCTGCCTCGTTCGACCAAACGACGTTCGACGCTGAGGTGTACGCGCAAGGCCGCGACGAAACATCTCCCGCGCCGCAGCAGCCTCCAGCGGACCGACTGCCAGAAGAGAGCGACCGTCTGCACCTCGCTTTCGACCCGCGGATCCACTGGCCGCTGCGCTGGACGGAAGAGTGGTACGACGCCAAGATGGCGGAGATCAGGGCGCGAGGCGGCAGGAAAGCCCACTTTGGACGCGCAGCGCAGCGGCGGCGGGACGTCAGACGCCAGGCCGAAGCCCGGATGCGGGCCGACAAGGCGGCGCTTGCTCTCGGCCAGCCGCTGCGGCGGCACCCGCCCGCACCGTGGACGCACAGCCGCCCTGTGGATTTTGGGGACGTTTCGGAGAGCGAGCTGCCAGACTATGTCAAGGCCAACCCGTCCTGGCTGCGCGCCTGCGAGTGGATGCGCTCGAACCGCGCCCAAGTCGTGCACATTGCGCAGCAGAAGATGCGGCGGAAAGCAGCGGGCGAAACGATCCAGAACTTGCTGGATCAGGGGAGGGGGTCTGTCGCGGCGGACGCCGTGACCAACGGACAGGCGGCTTCGCCGAGTGGGCGAGCCTGAATAATCATACACGAGGCATAATGGCAGCCACGACTGGGGGCTGCCGACGACTGATGAACATCAGAGAAATTAGGTGTTTGGCGTTCAAGACACCTGCCAAGCAATACACGAATGAGTACGAGCATGCCAAAGCAAGCGCAATTACGCTGCCGAAAGAGAGCATAGTGATGCGGACAGTTTTGCAGGTACATGTTCATATTTTGGGAGCATGGGGCATACGTGGAGGACAGACGGTACAGCGTCGAGCAGGAACGTAATTCTACTTTGCATCTCGTTTGTTTTTTTTGGGAAACCCCGTGCCAAACCAGAAAAGGCGCCTCTCTAAGCAAGAAACGAAAACATCAAGAAACTATTTACACGCTCCTCGCACGAACATTCTTCTTTTGTGTCCGGAAAAAAAAAGTGAACCCCCAAGCGTCTACATGACAAGACAAGTATAGAGACAAAAAGGGATGTCGTGCTCAAGCATGCGCCCTCTTGGACAACATGCTCAACGCGCTGCCAGCCAGGATGAAGCCGGCCTGGTCCTCGCTCACGGCGTGCTTGGTCTTGATTAGCACCTCCTCGCCGCCGGCCGCCTTCTTGACGCGAAGCTGGACGTCGCCCTTGCCCCCGTTCTGCAGCATCTCGTAGAGGCCGACAGTGCTGACCTCGTCGCCGGCGTCGATGAGGTCGTAGTCGGCCTCGTTGGCAAAGGTCAGGGGCACGACGCCCTGCTTCTTCAGGTTCGTCTCGTGAATGCGAGCAAAGGACTTGGTCAGGACGACACGCGCGCCGAGGAAGCGGGGCTGCAGGGCGGCGTGCTCACGCGCGCTGCCCTCGCCGTAATTGTGCTCAGCAACGACGAGCCACGGCTGACCAGCAGCCTTCCAGCGGAAGGCGAGGTCAGGGATGGTGTGGCGAGAGCCGTCGAGGTCATAGGCGACGTTAACCTCGCCTGTGGCGGCGTTGACGGCCGTGTTGAGTGTGTTGGCGCTGATGTTGGGCAGGTGGCCCTTGTACTTGAGCCAGGGACCGGCGGCGGAGATGGTGTCGGTCGTGCACTTGCCCGTGACCTTAACAAGGACCTTGAGGCCCTCGAGGTCGCCCTCGGGGAAGGCCTCAAAGGGCTCAAGGAAGGCTAGGCGCTCGGAGGAAGGCGCGATGGCGATTTCCACAGCAGGGCTGGGACCGTCGGGGGAGAGCGACTGGAGGCCCTTGACACCCGAGTCGAATGGCGTCCTGGGCCCCTCGAGACCTTGCGGGGGTTCGAAGCGGAAAGACTTGCCATCAGGTGTCTTGAGCTCGTCGGTGATGGGGTTGAAGGTCGTCGAGCCGGCATAGGCCATGGCGGTGACAATCTCAGGTGAAGCGAGGAAGTTCATGGTACCGGGGTTACCATCGTTGCGGCCACGGAAGTTCCGGTTGTACGAGGTGAGGATGGCGTTCGGGGTACCCTTCGCAATGTCGTCCTGCCTCTTCCACTGGCCGATACAGGGGCCGCAAGCGTTCGACAGAACGATGCCGCCAGCGCCCTCGAGCGTCTGCAGGGTGCCGTCACGCTCAAGGGTAGCACGGATCTGTTCGCTGCCAGGCGTGATGTAGAAGGGTGCCTTGGGCCTCAGACCCGCCTTTTCGGCCTGCGTGACGAGGCTCTCGACCCTCGTCATGTCCTCGTACGAGCTGTTCGTGCAGCTGCCAATGAGACCAGCAGAGAGCGTTGTCGGCCAGTCCTCCTGAGCCACAGTCTCTCCAAAGGAAGAGAGGGGTGTCGACAGATCGGGCGTGAAAGGGCCGTTGATGTGAGGCTCGAGCTCAGAGAGGTTGATCTCGATGACTTCGTCGTACTGCGCACCCTGGTCGGCGCGGAAGTCAAAGTCGCCCCAGGTGCGGAAGGACTCAATGGCGCGGTGTTGCGCCTCTCTCCTGGTCTGCAGCAGGTAGCGCTCGGAAGCCTTGGTGTAGGGGAAGATGGACGTTGTGGCGCCGACCTCGGCTCCCATGTTGCAGCAGGTTGCCATGCCGGTGGCGCTCAGGGTCTCAACACCCTCACCAAAGTATTCCAGAATGTAGCCGGTGCCGCCACGGACGGTCAGCTTACCGGCGAGGGCGAGAATGATATCCTTGGGGGAAGCCCATCCGCTGAGCTGGCCGGTGAGCTTGACGCCGAGAATGCGGGGGGCCTTGAGCTCCCAAGGGGCTCCAACGAGAGCCTCGACAGCGTCAGCGCCACCGACACCGATGGTGATGGTGGAGAGACCGCCAGCGTTGGGGCTGTGGCTGTCCGTGCCGAGCATCATCAGGCCAGGGAGGGCATAGACCTCCAGGACCGTCTGGTGAATGATGCCAGCTCCGGGAGGCCAGAAGTCCATGCCGTACTTCCTCGCAGCCGACTCGAGGAAGTCAAAGACCTCCTTGTTCATGTTGATGCCCTCCGTCAGATCCAGGTCGGCGCCCTTCTCGCCGACAATCAAGTGATCGCAGTGGATGCTGGCAGGGATGGCAGCCTGCGTCAGGTTGCAGGACATGAACTGCAGCAGAGCCATCTGGGCAGAGGCATCCTGCATGTTGACGCGGTCCGGGTTCAGCTTGAGGTTGGCACTGCCACGAATGTCACGGCCATTGCTCGTGTTGGTGAGCAGGGACTGGTCTACATTATCGAGATGGCTGTAGAGAATCTTCTCGGCCAGGGTGAGGGGCCGGTTGCCGAGAGCGTGGCGGACCTGGATCAGCTTGTCGTGCAGCTTGCGGTAGGTGTCGGGCTTGATCGACTTGGGTAGGGAGGGTCGGATGGCAGCGTCGAGCTGATCGATGTCGTGGGCAACGGCAAAGGTTCGCCTCGTAGGAAGGCAAGAGGAAGGGGGCGAGGCGGCGAAGGGCCGCGTGCGTGTGAGCAGTCGCTGTTGAACAGTCAGATACGATTGTCTTTAGACTCGCACGCGACGTCTATGTGGAGGGGGAAGGAAGGAAGAACAAGGAGTACACGCAGACATACCCTCGCAGCGGTGCCAGACCGAGCAGCAAGCTCAAAAGGCGCCATTGTCACAAGTCGCTGCCGGCGTATTGATGAGCCTGGCCTTTGAAATCGACTATCGAGTCACAGGTTGGTCGCAATGGCAGTCACAGTCACACATGGGTGGTATGGCGGGGGGGGGGGTGATGTGGAAATTTCTCGAGAGTCAATGGCGAGTGTGAAATGGGCGATGTCGGATTGGTTTCCCACTGCTGGTGGGGGCGTTGTGACGGCCAAGGACCCCGGTGGTCCCCTGCTAGTGCCCTGTAGCCACGGCCCTGTGGAACCAGTCCACCGGTCGCTGGTCGTCTTGTGCCCGAACCCCGACCTCCGACCTCGGCTCGACCTGGTTTCCGAAAACCACGGACACGACCACGAGCTCAGCCGTGTGCGATGTAAAATGAATGGTCTTGATATCAATTCCGTACCGTTCTAAACTCCCAGAACCATATATATGAAAAGTGCATTGTGTACAGCTTGAACCCTCCATGTTCGCCCCGAGCAGCCACCGGCGCCACGTCCCTTTTTCCGAGGGTATCCCACAAGGTTTCTCATTCAGTGGTCATAGTCCCCCTTGCCCGTTCCGATGAAGCCTTGCGTCCTCTCCTTCTTCTTGGCCCAATTCTCCTTGAACCATTCGCTCAGAGTGAAGCCCCAGTGTCCCGCAACGAGAACACCACTCAGAACATTGATCACCTTGAGCCAGAACTGCACGAAGCCCGGTCGCGTCTCCTCGACGAGCAGCAGGATCGGCTCGATATCGTACTTGACGAAGACGCCTGGCACGCTGTGGTCGCCGACTTCCTTGCTCTGCTCCGTCACGGCGAACTGATTCGTGTACACCGTGTTGGCTTTGGACGCCGACCTGCCAACAGTGTACACGGTCGGCACGATCGAGAGGTAGTATTGGAACTTGTGGAAGTTGGCCGATGCCAGGTTGACCGTCCTGTCGAGCGGGTTCTCGAGGTTGGGGTAGAAGGCGCCGAAGGAGAGTTCGTTGACAATGTGCGAGAAGTTGAAGCCTGCGAGAGCCTCGCGTCAGCCATGCAATCCGCATACAAAAATCATCTTTCAATCTAGGTACTCACTCGTGTGGTCCAGATGCTGCCCGGCGCCCTGGTACCCGTGGCCCCTAGCCGTGATGTGGAAGTCGCCCTGCACCTTGTTGAGGTCCAGGCTGCCAAAGATACGGCAGCTGTCTGGCGGACCCCTAAGGCGAGGCGTCCTGGCCCACTTCTGCCTCTTCTTGCTCTGTGCTACAATGTCGTGCACATGCTCCTCACCGAAGCCCTCGTCGAGATGGTAGCCGCTGTTCGTCTCGATGCGGCCCGACGGGCTGCGTCCCAGCTTGTGGTTGCCCGTAATGTCGGCCCACTGATGCCAGCTCGTAATCTCCTCGCGCAGCTTCGTCGCCGCCAGGATCAGGTCGCCCGACGCATCCTGCACGTTGATGTGCAGGTCCTCGCAGCGCATCTTGACCACGATGTCGAGGTTGACCTGCAGGGTCGTGGCCGACGCCCTTCTCGACCGCAAACGTGTGGGCTCTCGGGAGCCGCGCCCCCCCCGGCCAAGTTCGGGCCAGAACAGCATGACCGAGATGACGGCCATGGCAACGGTCCACTTGCCGCCCCCAGATGTCCGTTGCACATATTGAGGTTTCGACTTGGCTATCGAGGAGAGAAAGAAGATGCATTAGCAGTCGGTACAGAAGTCAAAGACGAGCGTGCAATGCAAGAGGAGTTGCTTGCTTACGAAAGGCGTCAAATGCACTGACGATGCTGCCCTTTGCGCCAAAGGCGTCTTCGTCCATGACTTTTTCGTGGAAGTCCATTGTGGGTGGACCAAAGTCTCTGGCTGTCGAGTCGAGCGATTGAGCCCTGCAGCGCTGGGAATGCGATGGGTAGGCGCAAGTCAATTGTCTACCACCGGCCGAGATCAAGTCGCATGTGGATGTTATGGCCCGCGCGTACGGTACGAGATGGTGACCTCTTTGGCTCTCGTCTCGTCTTCCTCCAAATCGTGGTGTCGAGCGATGGTGGGGAGCTGCTGGCATGCGATAGCTTTGGTGGTTGAGGACACTTTACCAAAAGCCGGCCAGGCGTGACCCCCTGTCCTCCCTTTACTCAGGGAGGTGGGCTGGCTCATGATGGGGGCATCACTCAGGCAGGTACCCTGGAAGTAGCCCAAATTGGGGGTTATCTTGGGTGGAGCTTCTGCCCCATTTCCGGGCGACGTACTTTCTTTGGCGGACCCCTGGGTAACTACGGCCTTCTCGGAGGCTGATATTCACCACAGACGTCCTCCGATCCTCAAGGCACGCATACATACAGAAGAGGACTCGGATGCATTGTCATGCTGTACATGTCGATTGGTGGACATTAAAGAGAGACTCAATTTAGACCGTCCTGTCGTGAATATAGCAATCTGTAGTTAGACATTGTCGAGTCTGGGTGGTGAGCTCCGCTTCCCCGCGCTCTTCCCTACTTCATTCACCAGTAAGGGGAGTGTCTTCACTTCTCCCCGAGGCTGAAGCCGACATGCGCATCGCTGCGGACAGGCGTTCGTTGCCCTGACATGCCTGTTGTACATTGGGAGAGATTTAAGAGAAACAGTTCCAACACCATAGAGCCTAGAATGAAACCCAAACCAAAGGAAAGAACGCAACCAAATGAAACTGAACCCTGTTCCTGAGGAGAACCCGTTGCCTGTTATTCCGAATGACTCCTGTAACCGATAGAAAATGAAGTAGCTGGCGCAAATGCGCCTTTACTTTCGCAGCCTCTTCTGCTGCTCCTCGAGGAACTCCTCGTCCGAGGCATCAAGGATGTCATACTCCTCATCGGTCATGAAGCCGTCATCGGAACCCTCCCAGTCATCAACACGTCCGCAATCTTCGAAATCATCGACCTCGTTAGCCACATCTGCAAGCGTGGATGAAGCGGCGGTCTCGGACTTGGCGTCCTGGTGCATGCTGGCTACCGGCGACTCCTTCTCAAGCTTGGGGAAAATCATCTGGCTGGTCTGGGCTTCTTCAGCATGCTCCTCTTCCGTTGTCTCGGTAGGAACGCTCTTGACTTCATCCTTGGGCGTGCGCACATCAATGTCACACCAGAGGCGGTGGCCGAATTTCATGCCATCGCTGGTCGTCAGACGCCAGTAAGATATGACCTTGCCGTCGCGGGGAGGAGTGCGGAGGAGGACGGTGAAGGGAGCCTCTTGACCTGGGGCGAGGCTCTCATAGCAGATGGTGGACTCGGAGGCGGAGACAAGCTCCGAGATGCCAGCCGGCTGGTTTGAGTCAACGTGGCCCATGTAGTCGCCGCCGACAAACTTGACAGAGCAACCGGCCGGCCAGGCAACATCTCCCTCGTTCCTCAGATTCCAGGTCTGCTGGAAGACGCTGTTGGGGGCCATGGTGGTGCCGTCAGCGATGGTGTCGCTAACAAAGACAGCGACAAGGTCCTTTTCCAAGAGGGGCTTCTCCTCTGGCTTGGGCTGCGGGGTCTTTTCGACAACCTCCTCCTTGATAGGCATCGACTCAATTGGCTTCACATCAACAACAGTCTGGACCGACGCCATGGACTTTGTGTCGCTTGAGCGCGACGCAGCGCGGTGGAACGATCTGTCGCCGAGCTGTGGCATGGTGTTGCCGTTGCCGTGCTCGCCTGTTGTCGTGACAGTGACATGACGGACAGGAGTCTTGAACTGCACCAGAGGGTGTGTCTTGTTGTGCTCCAGGGCCGGACTAGCCTCGCAACTGGCACAGAAGTCGGTGTCGTGGCATACAGTGCACTTGTACCGGGTGCCGGTGATATATGTCGGCGCGTTACCGCTGCTGCAAAGGGGACCATCGCAACAGATGCCATAATGGACCTGTCGGGCGCTGGTGCAGCGAGCTCGAGCCTCCTCCAGGGGCTCGTAGACGGGCACGAACCGATGGTTGGCATGGACGAATTTGGCATTGACAATGCACTCGCTGCAGTAGTCCCAGTCGGGACAGTCCAGGCACTTGTGACGGACGCCGCAGATGTATTTGTCACATCCATCGCAGATGGCGTTGTGGACCTGGTTACGGCCAGCGGAAAGTCTCACCTGGAGGTGGTTGGGTACGTAGGCACCCTCGACGGCAGGAGTGAAGGCGTGCTTCGGGTGGTGGCCATGAGCATCCTTAGAGAAGCATGCATGGCAAAGATCAAAGTCTTCACAGGTGGTGCAGTGCAAGAAGCGTGACTCGGGAAGCTCATTTACGCAGCAGTTGCAAGTTCTGACGGCCCACGATGTGGTGTTGAGAGTGGGAAGAGGCGCCAAGAACGGCTCGGGGATGGGGACGCGGGCTTTGTCGGCGGGCGCGGGCTCCTCCTTCTTAGGCTTAGGGGCAATGGTCTCTGTGGTGCTCGTGATGATCTGGCCGTCATGCAGAGCCCTCTTGATGAGCCAATGGCTGTCGCTGTAGCAAGTGATCCCTTGTTCGACGCAACTCTGGCAAAGATCGAAATCACCATCATCGCACGTGGAACAGTGATAGTGAGAGTCAGGGATGGTCTTGTCGCAGCTGTTGCAGCACACAGCAAAATTGAGGGTGGGGAGAGTTTTGGTTCGCAGCTGACCGGCGGCATTCTTGAAATAGAGGCCCAGACAAGGGTCGTGCTCTGGGGCCACCGGAGCTTCCGGGTTGGAAACAGGCTCCTTGTGGTCGATGTCGCTCAAGTTGGCGTGTCTTTGCATCAGGGACGCAAGAAGCGAAGTTTCGAAATCATCGACAAGATCCGTCATGGGCAGCTGGTGCTTGGGTGCTTCGTTCTTCATCTCCGTCTTGGGCTCTGTAGCTCGGAGGACGTCAAAGACGGTGGGAAGTTTGGGAGGGACCGGTGGCTTGCATGCCTCGGGTTGCGGAGCTGGGCTGGGAACAGCGGCGAGAGTAGTGCTGACCTCGGGGCAGTCTTCCACAGTCACAGACCTGGGAGGGGTCCTCTCCGGCAGCCGCTGAACGGTGACACGGAGCTTGAGCTTCTGTTTGGCCTTGGCTGCCCTGTAGAGCTGCTTGTAGACGGAGGTGTTACTTGGGTCCAGGACGACGTAAGCGGCAGCCGAATCGGAGTAGCGCTCGAGAAGGACGGGGACGTTGACGGGTATCTTCAGAAACTCTCGAATCTACGGCCAAAACTGTCAGTTCGGTGGTCCTTCTGTTGTGCCTCTTGATGGTCAAGCAGGCGATGTCAGAAGCACGAGATGGGGTCGCTTACCTTGATCTCGAGCGTGCTCACGCCAACATCTCGGAGGACGAAACCGAAACGCTGGTTGACGCCTTCATACAAGACCTTCACAGTGACGGGTAGGTCCTCGGTGGCAGTTCTGAGAGCAGAGGGTGCCTTTTTGGCCGATGCAATAGAGGCGCTTTCGGAAGGCATGATGCGTGGCTCGAGCTCACCGAGTGTGGTGAGGGTTGGGTGGATATGGTCTGACGCCGATAATGCTGGTAGAGTGATATACCTAAGTGTTTCCGATCGAGAGGTGTTGGCAATCACGACACCTCGGATGGGAGACCGGAGTGTCGGTAGGAGGAACTGTTGGAAACTAGATGATGGCCTTGTGATGAAGAAGAGGAGGAGGAGGAGGGGGGGATGACGGGAGAAAGTGGAGGGGTGGCAGGTGAAGTAGAACGGCAGAGAGGAAGCGGAGGTAAGTAGTCGAGGTAGGTAGGTAGGTCAAGGTCTGGGGTAGGTAGGCGCTCGAGGTACTAC